CTTCCTCAGGGCGAAGCCGACATTCCTCAGCACAAACAGGACCAGCTCGATGTCCTTTTCTGTAAATGTTCCCACCAGCAGTTTTAGGATGTCGAAGATGAGGACGGAATGTACCACCTGGAAGTTATACAGGTGAGCAACGATGGCGATCAGGTTGTCGCACTCTTTGCCTCCACTCGGGTTCTTGTAGTGCTCGTCAAACTTTCGCACAACTGTCTCCAGAAAATGGGCTCCTACCTGCAAAAGGAGAGGATATATAAGATATGTGATCAACATGAGAGCAATATACAGCACTATGAAAAAGTATCTGCTTTTTTTCTGCTTTCCTGAATTCTTATTTCTTTACACATGCATTTTTCATGTGAAAGAAAATTTAATATGACAAAACATCTCGATCAGATTGAAGTCCAGACTCTGACTAGGCCACTCCAAAACCATCACTAGGTTTTTGCTGGTCTGTTTTGGATTATTGTCCTGCTGCAGAACCCAAGTGTGCTTGAGTATAAAGGCATGAACTGATTATGGCCAGTGTGTTTAATCTCTGCAGATTAATGATTTAATAAGAGGCTGCAAATACTTTTTCACCACATTTAGTTTAGATAGCATTATTTCCCTTAACAAATAAAATCATCATTTAAAAACTGCATTTTGTATTCTACACGGGTTATCTTTGTTCAATATTAACATTTGTTTGATGATCTGAAACATTTAAGTGTGGAAAAATATGCCAAATAATAAAAAACGTGCCAAAAATTTTATATATGACAAGGTTTATAAACAAACCCAAATGTTTAAGCCAATAGCACATGGCTTAAAATATCAGCCTAATGTTTATAAAACTATATATAGTGCTACAGCGACTTCGACCAGGAGAAGATGTCGTCACGTGGTGTTCAACTATTATCGGGTGTTTCTGAAAAACAACAGCCTCAGGTCGTTGGATCAGCAGTGATGGCCAGTCAGTGCCCATCTTCTCCTGGTCCCCAGTTACCCTCCTCCTGGTCCCCAGTTACCCTCCTCCCTCTTATTCTAGAGCCAACAAGAAGCTCTCTCGGCGGCCTCCTCTAACCTATGGATGGCTGCCTTTTTATCTCTTCCTGTTATTCCAAAAGCCGTGAGTGTGTTCCACTCAGACTGTGCAGGGAACCCCATGCATCCTACTTGGACTGGGAATAGCCAGGCCTGCCACCCTCTGTTCCCTCTGTAGCTTGTTGGTGATGGAAGGGCGTAATAAACTGAGCGGAGCAAGGCTCCAATCTCCAAAGTTCAGCCCAAGTAATCTCACTTCATCCAGGTTCCTTGTGAACCCAGTGCTTTTGCCCAGGACACTCTACCTTCCTCCTCGAACTCCCGGATCTCAGCTTGAACCATGTCTCTCCTCTGTCTTGGATCAGATTTTACCCATTACTGGAAGTGAGTGGATCCGAATCCCTGACGCCCCAAGCATGGGTTGCCAGTAACTTCTCTCAATTTCAGCATACTTTCTGCTTGTGCCACTGATGTGCCTGCTTTTGCATCCAGCTATTGTAGTGACTCCTGTGTCAGTCACCTTGTTATCAGTCGAGTCTCTAAGGAGCATTACAACCCTGCACATTGCCACGCTGAATTCCTCCACTATGGATGATAAACAAGAGTCTTTGTAGAATGCCATGCTGGAATAGCCAGACCTTAAATTTGCCTGGTAGGCCTGAGTTTAATATTTATGTTTTATGTCATTTAGAGAATGACGTAAACCAATCAAACTGACAGATAACAATCAGTGTTACAGATCCCCTTCCAATTTATTTAAAGGGTATTACTTTTCAACTGAGATGTGCAAAAGAAGCTAGCCAGTTAGAAAAACAGCCTCCTGTAAATAATCTAAGAGCTGATGTGAATCAGGTCAGTGGTTTTTATTTCTCACACACACCAGCAACCGTGTTAACGCTTCTATCTATGTACCAGATCTGAGCATCTCCACAAGTTTACAGGAAGTAAAACCAGCCTACAAGCCATATTTTAAATACCTCTGTGTCTATTTGAAAATTTCTGGCAGACCATAAACCTCAAATTGAGGGCTCAAAAGAGGGGGTCTTACCTCCAAGCCCACAGCATGATGGAGGATGCTGACAAGCAGGATGTGGTCCATCAGTAATCTGTCTGGCATCAGGGTCGGGGTGACGCAGGCTGCTAGCAGCAGCTCTGTCAGGGTGTCGTTCATGTCCTTCCTGCTGGAGCTCATATACAGCTCCTCTAGCTGACCGCAGATGGATGACATGTTGGGCTCGCTCAACCTGAGGATGACAAAACAACAATGAACTGTGCAGAATTTAAATAACTTACATTAGTTTTTCCTATGTGTGGGAATTTAAACTACCTACTTCTTTCAGTACCTGCATCTAACTAACCAGGTAACAAGCAAGACCTTCCACTGAATAATTCCTGAAGTGATTAATTAATATTTTATAAAATGTTTGTTTGCTTCTAATAGTTGGTTGCAGAAAAGTCTCTGTATAAAACCTGGATTAAAATCCATCAAAATGACCCATTTATAAATTTAAAACCATGAGTAAGTATTACTAAACTAAGACAAACCACCTATGGCTCATATTCTACACTGGAGTCTGTAGGTGATAGTTAGAAAACACTTAAAAGCAAATAAAGTGCTGTATGAATGTGTGTAAACGACTGAACGTGGGTTGTAGTAAAGGGTTAGAGCTATACGAGTACCTGTCCTACCTATGCCTAAGATGAGCTTTGTTGGCTTCTATCAATATTCTCAGTTAGCTGTAGCCAAGTTTTACATTTTGTTTTTAAAAGGGGGAGGGGTGTTTTCGGCCTTTATTGGACATAACAGTCAAGAATACACAGGAAAGTAGGGAGAGCAGGGGGGAATGACCCTCAGGAAATGGACCAGGTCCAAATTGAACGAAGTCCCTGCAGCCTTTCGATATACGGGTCACCTGCTCAACCAGTGGAGCTATAACGTCGCACATCAGTTATTATTTAACTATTTTAGCTGTTATTTGTTGTTGGTCCAAGAAGTCAGAGACAGAAAATTCGTTCTTATTTATGATCTAGGTCTCATTATTTTGGACAGTGATTGCAGTTTTATCATATCAATAGGTTCGGGCCCCCAGATTTGCTCAGTGTTTGCAACCCAGTCAGACCTCTCATGTCATCAGCTGCAGATCTTTTAAGCCTTCCCAGAGTTAGAAGGTGTGGTGAAGCTGCTTATAGGTACTGTGGTCCTGTTCTTTGGAACAAGCTGCCAGCTTTCATAGATTTGGTTCTTATATAGCACTTTTTTACTCTACCTGAGCACTTTATATATGCCTCATTCACCACTTTAAATTATTTCTATCTAACATTGACCCTCTGATGAATTCATCTGAGAGCAACTAGAGGTTTACATCTTGACCAACAATGCAGACTGAAGCAGCCAGTGATTGAATCACCAACCATCTGATTAGTAGGTGACCTGTTCTACCAGACATTTACAGCCATGTATTTTAAAAAAAAGACCCAAAATCAATTGATTCATATAATGAAATGTGCTATATAAATAAAATTCCCATTGGGGGATCGACTTCATTGTGTTACCTGTTCATCAGACCTTTCACGTTCCTCTTCAGTTTTTCTAGCTCAGCTTTGCGTTTATCATCTCCCATGTTACGCAAATGAGGTGGCACGTACTTGCCACTTGTGGAGGTGACCTTGACATTGTAAGAATTAGTTTATTATTAGATTAATAGATCAGTAAGCAAGATTATCTAATGAAGTGATAGAAACAACCAGATATTACATATATCTGCACTCACAGTCTCCGTTTTTGTATCGGGAGCGTCTGTTTCTTCCTCTGTTTCCCCTTCTTTTTCATCTTCTGAATCAGGCCCGCCACTATCATTAAGCCCCTCCTGGTCATCCTCCATTTCCTCATCTTCATCCGCTTCCTCTTCATTAGACATGTCATCATCTTCACCGTCATCATCAATGTCATCATCGCTGCCTTCACTCGCCATCTCTCCTTCAGATTCCGGGTCCTCGCCTGACCCCTGAGAGTCATCTAGCTTTTTAAAGTTCTCTTTGGCTGTTTCCATGTCAACATCATCATCTTCATACAAGCCCACAGCTGATGATCCAGAGTCAAGCACCCCAAGGATGTAATCAAGTCCATCAGCCACAAAAGACTGAGGGAGACTTTTTTTGTTTTTCCTTTTATTTAATCCAAGACATCGCTCCAGCTTCTTTATTTCTCTGTCCTCTTGTTCATTTGCCTCCATAAGTGCCAATTTTCTTGTTTCCTGAAGCTTATTGACTCGCTTGCCTTTCTTGGAAGGAGGTGGTGTCTCAGACTTGTCTTTAGGCTCGCTTGGATGCGACTTCGACCCTTCCTTCTTTGTTTTCTCCATTTTCTTTTTCTGCGTGTGTGGTTGTTGATGCTTGTCAGCCCCTTTTTTCGGGTTTCCTTCATCACTTGGGGGCAGAGAGACGGTGTTTTTGCCCTCGTAGTGACTTTTCATTTTGGCTTTTTTCATTTTCCGCTTTTCCTTGCGTAGTTCCTTTCGGCTCTTCTTTTTCACAAATCTCAACCTCTGGTCACTCTCCGCTTCTTCCGAGCCACCTTTGCTTTTAAGGAAAACATCCACTGCCTCCCTGTACTTCTGTAACACGGCATTGCCTTTCTTCTTATTCTTCGTCTTACCTTTATGCTTCCAGTTCCCTTTCATTTCTACGAATTCAACGGTAGCTAGCTTAGAGATAGCTTAGCCTGTAAACTGCTACAAGCACACAAAATAAAAGAAACTGAACTATTCTGATCATATAAATACCTTACAATGCACATGGGCCTCCATGAGGATGACCCAGAAACACGTGACCTTTCCCTTCCAGGGCAGCTGATGACGTATTTTATTTTGGGGCGGTTTTTCGGGGGTGGTTTACGTCGCTCCGATGTAAACTGTCTTTAACCAGTCAGAGCAGTCTATGCAGAACAGTATAGACGAAGCAGGAGGAGTTGCTACCCTGGTTGCTGTCAGTTGTACAGGCGAGAATGTAGGGACTCAGTAGCTTTAATTGTTCTTGCAATATGAAGAATGGAAGAAGACGATGTGACTATTAGAGAGCAGAATTTCCACAGTCAAGTTCGGGAGTACATCGTAAGTAGCGGAGCGGCTAGTCGAGCCTAGCTCGCTAACGGTTGCTAGCTTTAGCTTTGCCTGTCAGTTTGACTCGGCAGTATTCGTTTAAGCTTGATATTGTATTTTAAGACCCACTTAAAAAAATGTAAAAAGAAACAATGAAATTTGATACCCGGTTATGTCACACACCAAGTTGGGTTTAAATATAAAAAAGCGCGTGAACCCGCTAATTAACACGAGCTTCCGTTAACGCTAGCTGCCACCAAGTTAATCACAGGAGAACTTGGCTAACGCACTATATGATGTTATTTGGCATGTAAACATCCCCACGGTTAAGTAGAGGTAACTGTAACTGTGGCATTGACAAAATGTCAGGGTCCTGTCTAATTCAAGCTTTGTGTGTCGCATATGTTTCAAATCAGGATGAAGTGTTTATGTTCTCGCTGCTTGATGCTCCGTTTAAAAACCGTACACTTTTTCGCAGTCACCATATCAGATTTTTATCGCATGATATTGTCGTAATACCTGGTCTTTACATTTTATCGTAGAGTTTGGCTGCAAAGATAAGCTATACTTTATCTTTAAAGTTGGGTAATCTTTGTGTGTGTTTGTGTTTTTAAAAGATAGAAATAACAGGAAAAATGCACCTGCTTTTGTTAAGTGAGGCATGAGGACTAATCATGATTACATTCATTGTCACTCGTCAAAGCTCCAGTTTGAGCATAAAACCTCTGTTTAATATGTTTTTATTTTTAAACACAGTACCATTATTTCCTTTTTACCTCCCAGCTGTAAAAGGCTGATGGGGTATTATCATCACCTGAGTGGGTAGATGTTGTTGACAAGCAAGTGTGTGACTGCGATAACTCAAGGCGGCATAGGAGTTCGAAATTAATACTACAGGTGTAGCTAAAAATCTCAGACAAGTTTGAATGTCAGTGACCTCAACCTCAAGGCCAGAGGTTAAGTTGTTTTTTGAAAATCTTGTGAAAGCGATAACTTGAGAAAAAGGTGGCTTAGGATTTTCTAATTGACACCATACATGTATCTACTAGGAGGCTGAGGGGTAGCACTGGCGTCCACCAGTATTTCTAAAAACGATCATCAGTCAATATCGGTGTAATGCCACATCCCAGTGTAGACCGTCCATCCATTTTCTTCTGATTATCCAGTACAAGGGGCAGGGTACACCCTGGAAATGTAACCAGTTTGTCTCATATGTCATTCACTGTGTAATTAGGGGTGATTAAATCCCATTATATGATCATTTAAAGCCTTCCTGCTTTAGCAGAATTAACATTGTTAATGTTTTGATAGTTATATCTATGTATTTTATGTAGAAGACCATTTTGTTGACATGTTACAGTCTGTTGAATTTGGCAAATAATATAAAGGTGATTTGTGACAATGCAATATGCATGTATGTTAGGTTCTTATCGGAGAGATGTTTCCCCACTGCAACGGTACATTCTGTCTTTCAAGAAACTATCTAATGCAATCACCAGCCATCTAAATTAAATTAGAGTTCAGTGGTCCCTGGGACCTAAAGGCTGCTTGAATAGTTACCAGTCAAGACTGTCTACTGACTTTTCATCCAAAATAAGGTTTTTATAAACGTTCTACCACTGTATTTGCTGTTGCAGATTTCTTCCATAGATTTCAAATTTGGATTTCCTTGAATGTCATATCTCTCTCGTTAAGTCTCTCTTTCTGTGTGTTAGAGACTGTCCATAGTAACTTTTAAGCTCACAATACAAAAAATATAGCATTGCTAAGTAACACAACCACCTAATTTATTCATGTGGCAGTTATCTTATCAGCAGTGTGTCACCTGTTCTTTTTTACACAGCATACGGTAGAAGCTGTTTAATTTCATTTAGATGTATCAATACAAAGTTTGTCCAGCAGAGTGGCTCTAGACTTACCTATTTGTGAAATGCTTTGCTAGAAACTCCATTTCTTTTTTTTAAAACAACTTTAATATACTGTCTATCAGTGTTTTTCCAAAATGAGCCTTTGGGTATACAGTTTCCTGTCTTTTCTCATTGAATTGTGGTGTCTTGATGTCTCCATAGGTGGGAGAAAAAAAACAAATAAAAGAAAACTAAAAGAGTAAAAAAGGTTTCAGTTTTCAGAGGTTTAGAGTAAGTCTCCTTAATTATTCCTGTCAGAATCTTGTGTAATATAGAGACTATCAGATATCTCAGCACTAAGCAAGGCCAACATCTGAGCTTTAGCTTGCACATTTTGTCCTGAGCCTGTACGCCTGGATGTCAGTATCTTATATCAACATTTCTAACTGCAAATCGTTCTGTGTGATGGATTAACATCAGTGTATCATTTCATCTTGATGTCTGTGGTGAGTCAGCTTATGGATGGATTTTTATTTTTTATTTTTTAATACAGGTGCCAGGCGACTGATATTTTCCAGTTATTGTGTGTACTTATTTTGCAGTTGGGGTTACTGTAGGTTAGGCTTAAAGTCAGTAAACATCTCTCAGTGACAGGACCTCATGTTCTCATCAGGCCCTAACTGGGAATCATTTTTCTTCCACAATGAAACCACTTGTAAATAATAACTCAAAAATTCTGTGCCTATGTTTAGCAAGAATGTAGAAAATTAGGTTACTGAGAAAAATCAGGTTAGAGTTGAATAATTTTGACCACAGTTCACACATGTTTTGGACAGTAATCATATTTCTTTGTCATCTCATCACAAAGCTTGTAGGTCATTATCAGGCTTTCACATTTTTTTGTAGACTATTAACCATTGTATTTTATAAAATAAAAAGTTTTTTTATAATTGACGTCACAATCAGCCATTGTTTAGTAGTAATAATAATAATAATAATAATAATATATATATTTTTTTTATGAGATTGTTATCATTATGAGAAAGTACTTTTTACTACTTAAGTTTCTGAAAAGGCTGGTCTTTTTCAGTATATTCATCTGTGATGCTAAACCAAAATCATATTCTTCCATTATTAAATACCCAGACTAGTGACACTTTAACCAAAAGGAGGGACAAATTATTAATTTCACCAGTTTATTCTGGTTTATTGCTAATGTTTTTGCCTTGTGGTGGTCATCACAGCATTAGGAAAGATCCTTCCCTTGTCTAATAAGCATCTTTCTGATAATCTGGCAATAATTAAAGTTTGGAAATTTGTTAGAGAAGTCTGAAGATAACGCTATTTAAGGTAATGCACACATCAAAAACACACTCAAGCTAATGGTATACAGTACTGCCCAGAATGTACCTCTGTTAATAATATTGTTTTTAATAACTTAATCTGCAAAATAGATGGATATTTCAGGTTTTTGTCTCTGAAATCAAACTACTCCTGAATGAGTTTTATTGCCACAGTACATGAAAACAAGTTGATTATTTATCTGTTAAGCCCCTTTTAGCGGGGAAAAAGGTATTGCTGTTCGTCCGTTCAAGCCAATTTCCACCAATTTGTTAACATAGGATTGTAATGCTGAAACGATTGTTGTGCCAAATTCTGTTTTTCAAAAAAGCTTATTTTTCCCTCTCAGCACATCTTTTTCCTTTACTTTTGCCCTCCTTAAAGGTCAAAATTCACTTCCGGCAAGCCTGTGGGAGGTTTCTTTCACCTCACATGAAAAGGCATTTTCCCTTGTTTTATGGCCCCTAAATTCTGTTGAATTGGCCAAAAATAATTGACGTTATGGATTTTGCCCCAGTGAGTGAATGCATAAAATAAGTTTTTGGAAATGGTTTGCAACCTGGTTAAATGACGTCCCCTTGTCAACACTCGCTGATTTTTCCTTTACATAGAATGCAAATTTAAATTTTTTTTTGAGGGAAAATGGATTGATAAGAAGGGTAGTAGCACTGGCGTTCACTGCTGTGCCTGAAAGTTGCTGTTATCTCCTCAGAGACTGCTGTGTCTTTGTGTCTGTGCTGCTTTATCAGCTCTGTGCACCTGATGATGTCTTGTTCAGGGTTTGCCACTTTGTGGACATCATTCGGCTTGCACCAGCATCACTACAGAATTTATAGCTAGAAACATATGAGCAGTCTTTCATTTGATAGGGGACTGCATATGATAGGAAAAATGTTTTTGTTGCTGCTGTCACATTATGACATTTGGCATTTCTTATTATGCCAGTTTGCCTGTCTGTGTTGTGTATGTCCGCCTGGCATCTGGTTGAATCCTCTCATAACCCCAGCTCGGCCGCAGTGAGCTATGTGGTGTTGACAAGGTGCAAAGTGCTGAAGTGGGAGCTTCTAAGATTAGTTGCGTCCTGGTCACTGTCACAGGAGAAGAAGGGAATGTGGAAAGTGATCTTTCTGTGGCTTGTTTTGAGGCTGTGGTTATCTAATTTGTGGACCACTTTGCATGTAGCTTCGACCTCATTAGTGTCATCAGACAAATAAGAGCAACAATGCAATTCTCACTTTCCTACTTTAATCGAATAAATGGGTCATATTAAACATCTTAGTTGCCACTGTTAATGTGCCATCATGTGGTTGCAATTAAGGTTTCTGCATAAACTTTGCAACTGACATAAGGGACATGCACAATTGAGTTGCAGTAATCATTTACTGGTACACAAAAAAAGTAAATTGCTCAATATTAGAGCATGAGAAGTTATTGACTTGCTTTAATGCAAAATGCAAAATTGCTTTTATGCAAATAATTAGAGGTTACACCATTACAACTAAAAGTTACCTTGTGTGAGCTCAGAATATGTTGGTCATTGTAAGAAATCTGCCATTGCTGTTAAACGGCAGTCTTGATCTTTTAACATCCACACCGTTTAGTCCATTCATATCAGACTCTGGTTTGTTTTTCCTTTTGGTGCAGTTCATTTGTGAACACGGTAATCGCTTTTGGGTGTGGACCAAAACAACTGGTCTCCCGAGGTGGTCTCAGTCCGGTTCCAAAGAAAGTCCAGAGTGACGTGTAGGCTACAAGTTTGAGCTAAATGCCTTCTTGTAGCCAGCTATTCTTTGCAACAGACACCATAGACAGTCGAGTTTTGCCTAAAATATTATTCAGATAAATACAAATGTTGGGATTGAAGTCTCCTTTGTTATCTACTAGTTCAGAACACATCAATTTCTTCCTGTATTTACTTCTGTTGATCCTATTATTTTACAGTATTGGGAGAGATGGTCAAGCCTGATAATGCCTTAGATATAAATGAATTCCCAGTGTGTTCCTCAGAGTGGGGGAGCACAGCTTGTACATTTAACAGTGGTATCGCAGTAAAGCTCTGAGAAGAAGGTTTTGATCTTTCAACTTCATCATATAAAAACACAATAACTACTCTGTACCTAAGACCACGTATTACTGATTTTGAGCTGCACACAATGGTATTAGCATTGTATATACAGCATATGGTGTAAGAAATACTTTGACAATCCTTTTAATACCTAAGTGTGTCATAGTCTTAATGTGGGATAATTTTGGGTTTAAAATCTGCTGGGTGGATGGTGCATATGGTGTCTCCAATGTGCTGATTCATCCCTTGTCATAATAAATCCTGCATTAAAATTCTTGTGATGTTGTTTCAGATTTGCTTCCTCCTGTTTGCCGTCCTCTACATCGTGTCCTACTTCATCATAACCAGATACAAGAGGAAGAGTGGTAAGTGCTGTGCAAAATGTGAGTTCAGACTAAAATTCTCGCCTGTCTGTAACACGTAAAAAGCAGCGCTGTGTCTGCGGTGAAACGATTCTCACACCAAGCATCACAGAGGTTTGCTTATTTTGTCATTTATGCTGTGTTTGCTCACACTCAGAACCCATGATTTTTACAGCCAAGGATCCTATAGTTGTTTGCTTTGGGTCACACCCACGCCTGAACACAGCCTGCTTTGTGTTGGAAGGGCTGTGGCCACATTAATCCACTTGGTCACAAAAGCTGTTAGGTTAATGCTGACATAACTTGTCCTGTGAGGTTGATAACTTCAGCTACGTCACCTAAAACATTGATTGTAACCTGTGTGACAAACAAGGAGATAAGAACAAGAAGAAAAGAAAAAAACAAACATGTAGCACAAAAATAGTCATGTAGATAATGTGAACTCTTTCCCATTTTCCCAAGGCTAATATAGTTTGTCCAGGTCACCCAGCCTTACCTTGTCTTATTTTAAAAGTAGACCACTTCACATCAGAAATCCCTTCTGGAGATTTAAACTGTAGAAAACTAGGCTGCACCCAGTGATTTGGTTATAGAGCAAATAATGTGTGAGTATTTTAGCTTCCATCATCAAATTTTTTTTTTTTTTTTTTTGCTTTAGATAATAGAATCAGAGATTTGATTCAATTGAATTTTCTTTATATAGTGCCAAAGCATTAGCACAAGTCTTCTCAAGGTACTTAACATGATAAGGTAAGCACTTGCAACAGTGTAGAGGAAAAGCTCTTTTAAAACAGGAAGAAGGCTCAGATAGGATGTGTGACCATGTGCATCTAGCTGTTTACTGTCAGTGGAGAATATCAACACTTGTATGGTTGTAAAAAGCATTATTAGTACGGTACAGGTCCAAGGGTTATTCTGGTTCTGGGTGGGACTTCTTTGGATTGCCTTGTTACGCTTAACCATTTGTGACATAGAAATTTCCACTATCCACAATTAACTGAATCCCAAGGTAACAAAACTGGTACATAATATTTAAGGGTACAACATTCTTAGCCTGCTGTTTGACGTTTTTCCCCTGATGACGTATATAAAATCGATGCAGCCTCTTGTTTACTTGTTGGTTTGTGAAATGTTTTCACTGACTTTTAGTGTTTTGACACTCAATGTGCCAAGTGAGGTATGGGTCTGACTGAAGGTGGAAGCTCATTGGCCGACGTTTGGTTTTTTGCAAAAAGTGAAGGCTGTTGGCTTTAGTTTTCAGACCTGGACGCATCCATTTTTTTTTTCAGCTGTCTGAAATTTGTTCTGTATTTGTACTGATAGTTAATCATACATTTTGGTTTTGTATGGTGAGTAGAGAATATCAGATACTTTGAGCTATCTGTATGAAAGCGTTCATTATGTTATTATATCCATGTTGCTGTTTTTTTTTTTTCTCTTCTGTTTGCCCAGAGTTTGTTTTTTGTCTTGTTTGTTTTTCGTAGTCTTCCTGTGCTCTCCTGTCTCTTCTCTTTTCCCCCACACTCCCCAACCAGGGGTGGCAGATACAGTGGGGCAAAAAAGTATTTAGTCAGCCACCGATTGTGCAAGTTCCCCCACTTAAAATGATGACAGAGGTCAGTAATTTGCACCAGAGGTACACTTCAACTGTGAGAGACAGAATGTGAAAAAAAAATCCATGAATCCACATGGTAGGATTTGTAAAGAATTTATTCGTAAATCAGGGTGGAAAATAAGTATTTGGTCACCTCAAACAAGGAAAATCTCTGGCTCTCACAGACCTGTAACGTCTCCTGTAAGAAGCTTTTCTGTCCCCCACTCGTTACCTGTATGAATGGCACCTGTTTGAACTCATCATCTGTATAAAAGACACCTGTCCACAGCCTCAAACAGTCAGACTCCAAACTCCGCCATGGCCAAGACCAAAGAGCTTTCGAAGGACACCAGGAAAAGTATTGTAGACCTGCACCAGACTGGGAAGAGTGAATCTACAATAGGCAAGCAGCTTGGTGTGAAAAAATCAACTGTGGGAGCAATCATCAGAAAATGGAAGACATACAAGACCACTGATAATCTCCCTCGATCTGGGGCTCCACGCAAGATCTCATCCCGTGGGGTCAAAATGATCATGAGAACGGTGAGCAAAGATCCCAGAACCACACGGGGGGACCTGGTGAATGACCTGCAGAGAGCTGGGACCAAAGTAACAAAGGTCACCATCAGTAACACACTACAACGGCAGGGAATCAAATCCCGCAGTGCCAGACGTGTTCCGCTGCTGAAGCCAGTGCATGTCCAGGCCCGTCTGAAGTTTGCCAGAGAGCACATGGATGATACAGCAGAGGATTGGGAGAATGTCATGTGGTCAGATGAAACCAAAGTAGAACTTTTTGGTATAAACTCAACTCGTCGTGTTTGGAGGAAGAAGAATACTGAGTTGCATCCCAAGAACACCATACCTACTGTGAAGCATGGGGGTGGAAACATCATGCTATGGGGCTGTTTTTCTGCCAAGGGGACAGGACGACTGATCCGTGTTAAGGACAGAATGAATGGGGCCATGTATCGTGAGATTTTGAGCCAAAACCTCCTTCCATCAGTGAGAACTTTGAAGATGAAACGAGGCTGGGTCTTCCAACATGACAATGATCCAAAACACACCGCCCGGGCAACAAAGGAGTGGCTCCGTAAGAAGCATTTGAAAGTCCTGGAGTGGCCTAGCCAGTCTCCAGACCTCAACCCCATAGAAAATCTGTGGCGGGAGTTGAAAGTCCGTGTTGCTCGGCGACAGCCCCAAAACATCACTGCTCTCGAGAAGATCTGCATGGAGGAATGGGCCAAAATACCAGCTACTGTGTGTGCAAACCTGGTAAAGACCTATAGTAAACGTTTGACCTCTGTTATTGCCAACAAAGGTTATGTTACAAAGTATTGAGTTGTATTTTTGTTATTGACCAAATACTTATTTTCCACCCTGATTTACGAATAAATTCTTTACAAATCCTACCATGTGGATTCATGGATTTTTTTTTTTTTCACATTCTGTCTCTCACAGTTGAAGTGTACCTCTGGTGCAAATTACTGACCTCTGTCATCATTTTAGGTGGGGGAACTTGCACAATCGGTGGCTGACTAAATACTTTTTTGCCCCACTGTAGCTGCCTCTCTGAATCTAAATTAAAATTAAGTTCTTTTTTCTCACCATCACCAATTGCTCTCTTGTAAGGGAATTATATGGTTGCTGGGATTTCCTGACATTGTGGGGTCTTTACATCATAATGTACCGTAAAGTGCTTTGAGGAAACTGTTGTATTACAAAGCTAATTGACCTGTGTTCGATTATGTTCTGCTGTACTTGCATATACAGTGTAGTCTTTGCAGAGTCTATAGTCTAACTCAGGATTTCTCCTTGAAACTGAAGGACTTTTGTTTCCCTCTTTAGATGACCACGAGGATGAAGATGCTGTTGTCAACAGAATATCGTGAGTGTGGGATTTTGTTCAGTACAAAAAAAAAAAAAAAATTCTTTATTTGTAGATGCTAACCATTAATTTTCTTAATTAAATTAAATGAATTTTCTGCAATTCAGAATTTACTGCGTCCAAATCCGTTAATTCATTTAATGTAGAAAGTAAGAAGAAGACGAGCTTAAGCAAAATAATCATTAATTACTAATAACCAGAAAAATGTTTTCATAAATTTGCTCCCCAACAATCTATATGTTTCAAAAATGGTTTCATTTTCTAGACCAGTGATGAAGGTATCACATCACTCCAGCTAGGATCTTACATCCACCCTTCATTGTATGACTGCTGTCATCGCATTCGTCCTGCCTGCTTATTTCCAGCTGGAGGACATGGTACCTTAGGGTCCTGCGCACACAATAGATAGCATGCCTGATTAACATGCTTTTTTAGCAAACGGGTGTCGGGCCCACTGAGCAGCTGGTCACTGCCTTGGGCAGAGTCTGGACACTATATTGTGAAAAAATACCCAGTTTATGCCTTTTGTTGTTCGTGGACTAAGGCAAAGGTGGTGAAGGTTTAGTTTTATTTAAGTGGCTACTGATTCTAAATAAGCTAATATGTTGCTTGCTGGAAATGTTTATCCGTGTGACACACTCCCACTTGATGCAAGTGGCCTTTTTTTATTTTTTTATTTATTTTTTTAGAATATACAATAATCTAAACTAATCTAATCTTTCAGTAAGTAAACGATTTTTCCTTTTGGTGTTGTTATGTGGAATTGCCCTAACATGAGTCTGTACGTGTGTCTATGTCTGTGTGTTGATTACATTTACAGATTGTACTTGTGCACCTTCACTCTGGCAGTGTCGGGTGGTGCCGTCTCCTTATTGCCTTTCTCAATCATTAGTAATGAGATCCTGCTCTCCTTCCCCCAAAACTACTACATTCAGTGGCTCAATGGCTCCCTCATTCACGGTCAGTAGTTCACACAGTTTATCCCAGTTTTCATTTTCTCTTTTTGTTTATGAAATACTTCACTGTAAAGAAAATTTGTCTTCCAGCGTATTTGATCATAATAACAGTCAGTTCAGCTTTTCACATTAATGTCAGGATAAAAAAGTTGTGCTCATTAACATTCTGTGTACATTACATTGGACTACTAACCACAGATGTGGTGTGAATGTGATCCAACCTCAGTCTGGATCAGCTACTAGTTGTACATTGCAAGTCTGAGGTTTAAAAAAAAAAAAAAATTCTGTGATGCAGCAATGTACTATAGATGTGGTCTGTACAGGCTAGCATTTCTCCGTGTTCACCAGTCATCCAGAACACAGCATCTTCTATCTTCCATTTGTCTTTGTTGCTCTCAATCCACACACATCTGGCCATTAAGTAGACTGAACATTTTCACATGGTTTGTAGTGATGAAATTTGGTTTGCTTGGATTCTTCTTTTTGGAAAAAAACAAAACAAATTACGAATCGCCAACTAATTCGGACCAACATAAATGAACTGTAGGTGTGAAAATGCCCTAAAAGTGTACTTATTGTGTTTTTGTGGAGTTCCTAGTAGAGATTAATATAAATCCAGACAATAGAGTTTTCTAAAACTAATTATAGTAATTCTCACTAAGTAATTATTTGGTGACTCATCAACATTAATAGCATCCGAACAGGATCTGTCTATAGAAGGAATGTCAACCTGGATCAGTGAAACTTGCCTTTCTGTCAGTGTTAAAGTTATACTCCGAGATATCTTAATATAAGAGACAAATATGCAGTTCAAACAGTATCACAAAGTTGTCAGCACAACTTTGGGGGTTTAAATTGTAGGATTAAATGTGTAATACCACAAAAAAGAATGCCAAGAATGCCCAGTAATTAATAAACAAAGTTTTTGTTAATGCACATAAAATGTTTTCTATAGTAGATAAATTACTTTGGTGTAGTATGAAGATCCACAGCTGTAAGTTTTTACACCTGTAGTCTATAAAGTCCTCTATCATACAGTGTATCTAGTTTCAATTTGTGGACATATTAATGCACGTTTATGGTGACACATTCATTTATCTCAGAGTAACTACGTGACAGTGTATGTTATTCACTCACCTTACACATCTTATTATGAAGATTTAAACACCAATGATGTTAATTATCTGGGTTATGTTTGTGTAGAAAAGATAACATTAAGTGTCCTTTGGTGCACAAAGTCTAAACATGAATCAGTTCCATTGTGTTTGCACTAAAACTAAAAGAAAACATGCTGACTTTGAGAATTTTTAGATGTTTATAAAGGGAGAAAAAAGGTGAAACCTATTACAAATATCTTATGTGCTAGAATTTTGTAGAGTAAGTTAAAGCTTTGATTAAGCCAAATAATGCATTAGATAATAAGAAATGTGGTCTCTTTGTACAAACACTGACACAGTTTGCTTCCTATGACTGTTGAGAAACTTTGTATTTGTTGAAACATGACTTTGCTATACAAAAAAAAAAAAAAAGAATAGATGTGTTACCAGATGGGGTGCTAACAAATGAAAGAAGCCAGTTTGTTTTTCCCCTTAAACCATTTGAGATTGAGAATTATTTATTTGCACTGCCAGTGCTAATTACCTGCTTCTGTTAAGGCTGTTTGATGTTCAAGTATCCACCAGGTGGCAGTAGAGTCCATGACTTAGAAACTGCCAAGAGGGCACTCAACAGACAAAACTGTCTTAACTTAAATTGCAATTTAGGAAACTCTGTGAATGAATCTTTGGCACATGTCCCCTTCATAATGAAACATTTTTTTAAATAATATATTGTCTCTGTATATGTCTGTTTGGTTACTGCAGGTCTGTGGAACCTGGTGTCACTGTTCTCCAATCTTTGCCTCTTCGTCCTGATGCCATTTGCCTATTTCTTTTTGGAGTCTGAGGGATTTGCAGGATCGAAAAAGGTACAAACTATGGGTCTTTATCTAAAAATGAGAAAAAAGTTGCCAACCTATCCAACTGTTCTAATATCAATTTTTTTTTTTTGTAACACATGTTTATTGATGCCTTTAAAAAAATAATGGACAAGGTAGAATTTCATTACAAAAAATTATTTGGACAATTTTTTTTGGTTTAAAAAAAAACAAACAAACTTGGAAGTCATTAAAAACAGTTCATAGTAAAATTTTGTGTGGTACTGTACTCTAGGCTGTTATGTATTTGAATGCTCTAATACCTCTGCAAGAGGTTTTCTCTTAGAAACCAGAGCAGCAGCAGGTGCTTAGTTCTTGCCCTCTCCCTGACTCATGCCACTGACCGTAACTGCCACCGCAAAAAGCTCATTAACCATGAAAGTCTGAATCTGGTCTTCACCCAGTGCCACATCCTGACAAACCCTTTCAATAAGGCCATAGGCTGCAAACGCTTCAACACTGCTGCATCGGCCCCACTGATTTAAAGCCTGATTCCTTGTCACCTCCTCCCCAGCCCCCTAAAATAAAACTTCAAAAGGACAAGCTAATAATCGAGTTGTAAGGCTCAGCGAACTTCCTTGTTTAATTGATTACCCCCCCAAAAAATGGGCTGGGGGCTCGTGTTCCAAACGTCCATAAAGTCGCAGCAACATGACAGCACAATAGAGCCTTGCAAAATGGAGGGCCAAAGATTTACTTTTAATACGCCTCTATCCTGTGTCACAGTTTGAAACCTCTCTGGTTTATGTCCCTCCTGGCAAAAGCACATAAAAATTAGTTTGTACTGTAGTGTATAGCGAGTTCTTTTCTTCCTCAGCCCACTAATTTGTTTCGGTTGGATTTCTTCAGTAGAGGGCAAGCCCTGATGTGTAGGAAGCAGGATGAGGGCCTCTTTCACATTTCTCCCTTTTGTTCTTTTTCATTTCAGCAAGACTGTTTCTTGCAATACAGCTTCCATAAATGTGCCTAGAGGAAGTACTGTTCAGTGTTGAGCTGCACTTCCAGGTATATATTTTGTTGGTTCTGTGCTAAGGCAAGGGTGGAAATGATATACCCACTCCTCCATTTAATCGCCCTCCAAAAAAACAAAACAAAAACCCCCCCGAACCCGAGCTGCCTGCAGAGTGAATTATACAGCCGACAGCAAGATAAATGTAAAAGCAGATCTGTGTTTTTATAATGTGATATTATCCCTTTATCCAATAACAGCATTAGACTGCTATGCCATAAGGTTTTATGTGGCATTTTAACCCACTGGGCTAATGTTATAGCACTGCGAGTTCCCTTTGAGTGCGGAAATGAAGTGAATGATGAATTTCACTTCTAACGTCGTAAGTCAGCCTTTTCATGTGGCTGTGTTTACTTTTGACGATGTACTAAAAGACGCCAACAGATTAAAGATGGTTTTTTTTTTTAATGTTGTTGTTTTTTAATGTTCAACTCTTTAGAGGCTCTGTCACCTGAATGATTGATAGTTTAACAAATTGTCCAAATTGTAGATGAATCAAGAGCGACTTAAGGTTTTGATGTCAGATGTTATGATTTAGCTTTATTTGCTGCTATAAAATGTCTACCGCTTTACTGCTGTGTTCTCAAATCTTTGCAGAAGAGCTGCATCACTGAGGCAAGTAAAGGTTGTTGTTTAGTTTGTTTTTAGGTTCTGATCATATTTAGAAACTGAGATACTACATTGTTGGTGATGTGCTTATCAAATATTGTCCACTTTTTCTTTTTTGCAGCATTAGCAAAGGAATTTAGATAAATAAAAAAAGAAAATTGCCATTATTGTCTCTCTGTTACTTGTCTCCACACCACCAATAGGTGGCATTGTAATGATGAGAACCATACATGTCATCCTTATTGAGATGATCAGTATGCTGTAACAAAGACTGAAGACATCAACATAAACCTTTAGTCAGTCTTCTATTTATATCAAGGAAATGTAATCACATTAATAGATAGAATTGATGAGTGTGATATCTCAGCGCTATATTTACTCAAAAACAGTGAAATCAAGGGTAAGGGTTTTGATGGTGACAACTTCCTGTTCTATTTCAACCAAAATAAGTGACGATTATTAAAGCATGCATAAAGTCTGTGAAACAGGATTTGTACAGGAACTCGTGCTTTGCAGAGAATAGTCTTTTGGTCTTCCCCACAGTATTGAAATGTGTTTGATCCTCAAACGAGTTGGAACGAGTCTGACCCCCTGACTGACCCAGCAAAGGGCCAACAGGTTTCATCTGGTAGTTAAAGAAACTCCTCATCAATCTCATCCTAAGCCCTAACCCGCCGATGATGAGAAGTGTGTTTATTGTGGAGGAGGAGGAGGAGGGGAAAGAGAAAACGTCTCGCCGAGTAAACCCGTGTGGTGTTACTAAGATACTCGTCTTTGTTGGAGCTCCACAATAGGGGCCTGGATATTTATTTCAAATCTCCTGCACATGCAGACATTTTTCCCAGGCCTTCTTTTGGGTAGGGCCAGCCGGGGAATATAAAGTGGTGTTTACATACCTTCCTTTAAGGTCACAATGTCTCCCTAAAGCTGCCTGTTACAATGTTCGTTACCATGGCGACATATTAGCTTGAGCTAGGAATTGTAAAAACGAGCAAGCGAGATTTTCCCCTCCTCTCGTGACTCAGTTTTTCAAATCTAAATGCAAAGTTCTGAAACAAAACTGAGTCTCTGCTGATTTTGTAGCTGTTTTTGAAGATTTTAAAGTAATCTGTAACTCACGTTGACTTGGTTACACAGCTTTATTTGCACTGTGGGTTAAGTTAGGTAGAGTATTATGTGTTATTATGTGTGCTTGGTCCCTACTTTCCGCTTAACAAAACCCAGGAAGCAGCCATCTATTTGAATTCTTATTAATATAAGGATTTTATATAATCACAAGGTGCTGCCACAATAGGATGATTAAAAAAAACAACCAAAAAAACAAAAGGGAGAGGGAGACTTGACAAACAACTGAAAGCTATGTTATTCATTAAAACGATTCTGTTTTCTTAAGCATCTATATTCAAACAGATAAGCTGCTTCACTGTGGTTTGAATGATATGACTTGACACCAGCCATTTCCCTTCTGCCCTGTTTATTAAGAAGTCTTAGGAGTCCTTAGAAGTTGATTGCGCAGCTTTACAGGGCAGTGTCCCTGTCCTCTGCTTTCTGTCTTTGACACGGTCATTGCGCTGCTACCGACTGGTTGAAGGATACGCTAATAAGGTCCCTGAGCATCTGGCATGTCTTTAGCAAAGAGGGCAGGTCTTTTTGCTTGGAAGTGAAAAGGACCCTGCCCCCTTCCTCACTTATTACACTCTTGGCCCTTGTTGCACACGTCCCTGACAGTGAGCAGAAGGATGGTCCGTTGGATGATCTCTGCCATCACCTGCTGACCTGTTATGGAATGATCACAGCGACTAGGAAACTCCTGTGCCAACTTAGTTTCGTCCTGTGTTTGATTGCAACTTGATTTTACTTGGAAATGGAAACGGGTCATGAAAGATTGGCTTTAGTTTGTCTGCAGAATACACCAGGCAACAAGCTTGTGAACTATTTCCAAAGCCTTCTGTAGCTTTGTGTGACTGGGTGGATTGGGAGAAAGATGAACTTGTCTGATTGTGTGTTTCTGTGTGTGTGGGTAGATCAATCCATGCATGTTTGTTTGCTGCCGCATATGAAGTGATTACTTTCCTCTCTGGCCACTACGCACATTTCTTAGAAAATCTCCCTTGTCTTGTACAAGCAAAGTTGCAGCCCCTCACTCGATGTCAGTGTGAGGATCGGGGGATGCTGAATATTTCAGAGCTGCTATATTTAGAGGTAGTTACACATTTAGAAAGGCAAGAATAGAAACTTTCAACGGGCACTCTAGATGCCAAGGCGCAGTCTTTTTCTTTTTTTCCCACCCTTCCTTCACCAGTTGACAGTTTTCTTTGATCACTGATGATGACTGACTTGGATTTTCCTATTTTTAAACCACATATTTTGCGATGAGGTGCAAAGGGCTACATTTTTCCTTGCAAGAATGTGTGATCATAAGCAGAACTTTCACTGTGCTATGTCATGCATGTAAATGGATCAATAAAACCATTCAAATCAGTCACTTTCAGTGTCCCCCGTTCTCTTGACCCGCCAAATCGTTTTTGACACAGTGGATCGTTCTTCCTGCGAAGCAAGAACAAGGGGTGATAGTAAGCGAGGTGACAAGCATTGCCTTTGCCCTAAATGATCTGAATGGGTAATGATTTGAGTCTTATAAATGATTGAGAGACATATCTAAAGGGAATACACCTTCAGCATGGCCTGGACATCTTGTTAAGGTGGACTGGTGCGCTTGAGCGGACACACGTCCTGCCTGTGGTTTCTGCTTGTTCTCATGCATCCTTAAGAGACCACGTGAGGGACGTGGCTGAAGTCCCTGAAAGCATTCCTCTTTCACCTCTCTTACCTCTAGGGAACGTGATATGCTCAGACGTTGACTCCTCTCCTCCACCAGTCTCTCTCTCTCTTCCATCTCCTCCATCTTTTCTATTCAGCTGTGTTTAGCGTGCTCCCGACTGCACAGTTGAGCTGATCTGTGATGTGCTTGATTGCAACATCGATTTAACGTGCAGACACTGAGCATTAGAAGGTCAGCAAAATGTGTGCTTATGTCAGCTTGTTACTGTAATTGCAGCCTATTAATTTCAATTGACTGATAAATTCATTGCTAAATATCACAACAGAAAGGCATGCGTAGTTCACTTATATGTCACCACCATGATGTCTCTATTAAGACTCTGTATTTTTCCATAGCACTTATTTCGTGCTGACTAAAGGTCCCACCCCCTCTAACGTTACCTGTGGCTGCAGTGTCCACTTCGGCCACACTGAGGCACTCCAGACCCTGCCCATTTCACTCTCTGCCATGCTAGAAAATTCTACACTGACCCCAGAGGCTTTTCCAGAATAACACCGCAAGAGAAGGCGAGAAGCGGGAGTCATTTCTCAGTAATTGCAAAGGGATGCTACAGGGGATTTTTACTACAGAAAATTAATGAAATCTTAGAAAGAAACTTCCTTACTTACATTACTATAGTAAATATATACTGAGTAGGTTGGTAGCAAAGTGTAGGGATCACATTTATTAAATATTAAATACGAATATTGACTATCTGACTAATGCATATTTGCACAATGGCACATTGAGCTGTAGAGTGGGTAGTAAGGGAATGTTAAAGTGTTTCCACTTTAAAATGCAGATGCTGAAGGTCAGGTGTGTGGAACTGTGAGGAACTAATAACTCTGCCCCCCATTTAAAAAAAAAACCCAAAATTAATCTCAAGAATTAAAGCCATTTCCACTCTTTAAATAGGCTTCGTTATTATTCATGGACTTCCATGTAGCTGTTGACAAATACTGAACAGCAGCCACACAGCGAGTGTACCTGTTGGCAAATACTGAACAGCACCCACACAGCCATTATGTTAGCTGGTAACAAATTACTCGTATGTACCTAATTTAAACAATGCTCAAAAGCAGAGAGCCCTTGTTATCCCATGCACGGTAGCCTAAGCTGACGTTTGAGAGTACCAATCTGTCTTACAGTGCTAGACAGTTCAGCTCTCCAGCGGGGGTGGGAGGTTATGGAAACTGTGTGTGAACAGGTACAGGAGGACTTTATTAACCACTCAGCAGTTTGTGACCCGGAAAACCCAAATTACCCCAAACCCTCTCTTCTGCACGGCCTGAGACATGACTGTGGTGCTAAGGGAGCTCCTAATCGGCCCCAGATGGGAGGTCTGCTCTTGATCGCAGACAGTAGCTGACCCAGCCAGGCTTCATGCTCCTTGCAACACCCCAGGAACCCCTCCCCTCCTCCCTCCTCTTTTTAATTTTACCTCTACTACCACCATCCCTGGTTGGACCCATTTTTATAGACCACAATATGTGTATATAAACGAGCTGTTTTACAGAGGAGTGGATGAGAGCGTTTATGTTATGTTTGTGTGTAGTGAATGGAAATGATGCTGTTTAGTTTAAGTGAAGGAGGAGGGGTGGAAGCGAGGTTTCCTGTAAAAGTAATCATGTTCAGTGTTTCAATATGAAATGTAGGAAACAGCACTTCTAGCTCCTTTAAAGTTCATTCCTGACTATACAAAGTATTTGAACACTTATACAGATTTGTTTTACAGATGTTCTGCTTGAATTAACGAGAACCATATTAGTGCTTCATTTAAAGGTGGGTTATAGCAAAATAGAAATATGTGGGAGACAGTACTACATGGTACATATAAGGTCAAACAAAGCATCATGTTGAATATTATCTTGTAATTTTCTGAGCTCCCCGGTTTTAGTGTGGTCCTCAGCAGGTGTAGCTCATGCTGATGTTTTGGTTGCATGTTTAGCTGTGTTATGCTGCTGATATTGAAATGTTGTCCATTGATTGATTGGTGCTTTTGGCTGAATCAGAGCACACAGAAGGTTTCTTCATACCCCTGCATCAATCCTGTTTCTCCAGAGAAGAATAAAGTCATCAAATGCCAACGTGCCAGTTCAGTTAGCAGTCATAGCCATAACGGAACCAAGACCATATTTGACAGATTTGTCATCTCTCTCCAACATTTTTTTTTTACCAACTCGTTCTGGCAAATTACCTTCTGATGTTTTTCTGACACATCTTCTGTCTTTCACCTTTTCACTAAGTGGAAGCACTCTGTCAGCTTTGAGACATGTTTGTGCCCTTTTGTGTGCTCAAAAACGCACATCCCAAGAAAATATTTTGTAAGCACCAGTGTTTGTTTTGTTGACTTATAAATTTTTGTATAGTTTCTGTCAACAACTTTTTTTTTTTTTTCTTTTAACGAAAACAACTACATAAAAAAAGTAATGCTCTAGGACAAACTATGATGAAATGTATTCACACTTAAGTTGACGAATTGAAAACGAGATGAAAATGGAGAGACAAGGTCCAATCAGATTTAATCAATGTGTGTAGAAAGGCGGGACGAGTTTGGAAGTAATCAGAAGTAATCGTGCAGTCAGGTTAGATGTGCACAATTTGATCAGTCGCCAACATGCATGGTCCCGTGCATGGGAGGAAGAGAATAGTAGACATATGGACACATTTCACATTTGATGTTGAGGAAAATAAGACACTTTGTAAACCACATAGAGCAACTCTCACCAATTATCTCTCACCAAAAATAAAACAAACTTTTGCACTTTATACTTTAGATTTAGTCTACAATAATCTTAAGATATTTAGTTCACTAAAATATAAGAATTTTGAGGCCTAAACCATGACTAAAACTAAATAATGTTTTAGTTAAAAGACTGACTAAATCTAAATTTAATATTCCTAAAACTCTGGGAATTTGGGTCCTGTGTGAATTTTGTTGTTTTGTAATGGCCAGTATATGTAAACGTAAAAATTTGACATGGTTGATAATGTAACTTTTGTGTATCATCATTATGATTTTTATATGCATTATTTTAATTGAAATAATTTTCTCTCTTATTCCTGCTTTTTTCCTGTCAGGGCATTAAGGCACGCATTTTGGAGACCTTTGTGATGCTCTTTCTCCTGGCATTGCTCATTCTTGGAATTGTGTGGGTGGCATCAGCCCTCATTGATAATGATGCAGCCAGTATGGAGTCACTCTATGGTATGATTTTTGTAATATTCTACATGATTGGTCATTTTAAACCCATTGTTTTTGTTTTTTAAATAAAGGAATAGTTTTAGGATTTACCAATCTGACGGTGCATTAACTATGAATCTAGGCTGAGAGTTTGTTTAGGAAGGAAATCAGATTTCTAGCAGCTCTAAAACTCCAATGAACACACATCTTGGCTTGTTCCAAAGTGTTGAGCTGTTCCTAAGTTTCATTTTTACTAAAAGTCTATATATTTTGTAGATCTTTGGGAGTTCTACCTGCCATACCTCTATTCCTGTATTTCTCTGATGGGAGGACTCCTTTTACTAAGTAAGTGTGTTTATAATTTTACAAAATGATGCAAATAGAAGATGTATCTCTATGAGCAGTGTTTTCCCTCAAAGTACCTAAAACTTTTGAGTCCGAGAAACCTTTCTGAACAAACAAGAAACCCTCAAAGCTCTGTCTTTCCACCATGGTTTCAGCACCCTTATAGGCTAGGCAGGTTGTATGTTATTTTTGGGTATAAACTCCTGTTAACTTGGTTCACAGGTTTATAACTCAAAGCCTCGAGTTGAGGATTTTCACTATCGCCCGCTTGGTGTTTTGAATGTGATAGGCATGGGGGTGGCCCTCTTCTGATGGCCAAGTTGAGCATACCCTGGATAATTTAGAACTTAGAATGTGCTTCACTCAGTATGAACCAAATCTATTGACATGAACTCCTCAGAGAGGAGCATTAGTGAAGTGTTACTGAAGGGAAAGCTGAGGGCTTTGTTCTTTTACACTTGTGCACAACTGAAAGTGTTTTTGTAACCATAGGAGTCGCCGCCTGGTGTCCACTGTGGACAATCAACTGTCTAAAGGACTTCTTATACTTCCTCTGAAAAGTTTGAACTAAAAGTTCCAGACCCTATATGTGGAAACATGCCTTTATTATATTTAAACAAATTGACCGTATTGTCCTGTCTCCTGTGTAGTGTGCACTCCTGTGGGGTTGTCCAGGATGTTTACCGTCATGGGCCAGTTGCTAGTGAAGCCGACAGTAAGTAATCACTTGGATGAAGTATTTACTGCATTTCTAAAAGTTGAGTCGATGGAAAAGAGTTTATTAAACAGTTGTTGTTCAGATTTCTTTAAAAAAATGTCTCTACAGACAGACTCGAGTCTGCTCTTCTTGTCTGAAAGATGTCTCATTTAGCCATTTAAAATCACAACAGAGGACTACAAATACATCACCAACTCATCTTCCCATCTGCCACTGCTCCAGTCCCACTTCGGGCCTAATTATAACCCATTTCATCTCTTCCTACTCTGCTCTCTCCCCTTTAGATCCTTGAGGACCTGGATGAGCAGATTTACTGCATCCATTTGCAGGAGGAAACCCTTCAGAGGAGATTAAACGGTATGTCTGTGGGAGACGTGTTGGCACATTATAGGGGAGGGGAGGGGTTGACTGCCCTATTGGGTGTGATGGAGTAGGCCACGCTGGAATCAATTAGCATTGAAAATTCAGCTAGGCACACAGACACACACAGACATTCACAAAATTCACACACACTTGTCACTGGCTTTTCCCTGACACCGTCACACTCTCATAACTTTCTGCTTAAGGTCAAAGCAGCCACTATGGCAAGGACCATATTTTGTTTAGGAAGTTTTTCTTAAGAATCCACTTAAGAAAATCCACTGCCGCTGCCATTATTGGTGAAATGATTGCCACATTTAATGTCAGGCCTCGAATGGCAGCCTGTTTAATAGGATGGAAATGAAATTTTTCACGAAAGGGTTTGGTGCTGTAGACATTAAAGAGCCATAACTCTTCTGAGAGGACACCGGGAGCCTTGTGCTGCTTTTTTAGGGAAAGTTTGAAGTGTTGAAGAATGTTGAAGATGTTATATTTTTTTAGCCTGCATTTCCTTTTCACGTCCAGCTTTCTGTGTTCCCAAATTCCTTGTTTGACGTTAAATAATCTTAAAAAAAGCAGGAAGTATTTCGGCCAGTTTCCAAAACCTACTTTAATATTAACTCAAGCACGCAACCAAGTGTACAGATGTGAGTAAATGAACAGAAAGGAGTGTCCTTTTAAACCCGGGAGGTAAGCGAGATCACTCCCAGATAACACATGTTTTTGAACGCTTTGCCGGCCACCTCCATAGAGTGCCACCAATGCGTACAGTTTCTTAGGGCTCATTCCTCAGTGCCCTGCTTTGAACTACCTGATAGAATAATTGTAATCTGTTCCTTATCGTCTCCAGGACTGTTTGATCTTTACACGTCACGGTGGGGTAAAAAAAAAAAACCAAACAACAGTGGTCAACATCCCAGTATGTGTACCAAGGACAAGCTGCAGTTCATTTTTGTCTGTTAGAGAGGTGGGAATTGGAGAGAGAAGCAAGGGGAATGTTCAGTGAAGCTTAAAGCGTTGCTTATCAGACATAATGTTTTTATGCAGATACAATATGCATGCAAGTATGTGCACATGCAAATACTCATTGTTCATGGTCATAGTTAGGTGCAACTGAACGTCTAAGCGTGGTTCCTTTGATCTGCTCAGGGCATTAAGTAGAGAGCAGGTCAGGAACAGTTCACGGGACACACTCCAAAGACGAGCAATGTTGTCTTCTTGCTTCACCGGTGTCCGCTTTGCATCAGGCCTCTCTAATAAATTATCATCTTAGAAAGTTTGTGTTTGTAGATGTGGACTGTTGAGCCTAATCAGTTGATGCATTCATGTTTATTTACATGTCTGGTCCTTTGTTGTCCTCCTGTGGCATGAAATTGCCCATTTGTAATGACATGTTGGTAGTTTATGTGTTGCTGATCACGACATTGTGGTTTAAACCGGCTCATTAGCAATGTGTGTCTGCTTTTCTTGTAACGAGCGTAATGAACCTAAAAGGAGAATGTCCAGATAAAAGATGGATGGTGCTTAGCAATTGTTACAAGTAATAACACATTGTTGCACCCCTACTATATTGCTTTTAAATGTATATACAGGGTGATGAATTTATCCCAACTGCACAAGTAGTCTGGTGACACAGAAGTCAGGATGGAGTCAGCCTGCGATTCCTCTCGCTGCTCTTCAACTTTCTCTATGTTCAAACTTTAAAGAAAAAAAGGTCAGAGCAAAGCAAGAGATACTGACTTTATTACGCCACTCGTTTATCTCTGTATGCAAACCCCAATGATAAAGTCTGATTACCAGTAATCTGTGTTTTCTTTGATGGGCTTTTTAACTATTCCATTTATAACCAGAAAAAAAGCCCCAGAAACTAATAGATGGGTTTCAAGAAGTTGACATTCAAAAAGTTGAATTCCTAACAAAGTCCTTGTTCGTCTCTATCATCACTGTTGCTACTGTTGTGCTAAAGCAGAAATTACAGTGGTCTTTATATCTTAATTCCTGTACACTGTGTTTTCACAATAGTTTTCTCAGATTCCAGATAGAGAAGTCAAAGCTGTAGATCCATCAACATTGCTTCAAAAGGAGCACCTAGTGATGGCTGCTATGTGCAGCCAATGTGAACCAAGGTTCAAGAATAATGGTGCATTGTATCAGAAATAAATGTTTGGGGTTTTTTTTATGATGTCGGAGAGACACAGCAAATATAAAACGTCCTGTTGACACTATTGATTGCATTGCCTCAGTTACAGAAAGTAACTTGATTCAGTTTTTAGTTCCATAACAAGCCTTTCACTTCTGTTGCTTCATAATCCTAAACTGTCCTTTGTACTGCCAGATGTTGCAGGTCTCCATACACATGGTAGATGTGTGAGAGGCTAAAAAAACTTGTATTTGTGCTTGTCAAAGTTTACAAGGACCAGTTTATATACTGTTTCAGTAGTTTCATAGTGAAGAACAGAATATATTAAAACAGCACCAGGCACACATAAATATACTGCAATACAGGCAAAGCGATGCACACACTTGTACAGACTGCCCTCTCACCACCCTGATGTGCTGAAAACAGAGCACTCGTCCAGATGCTATGCGGCACAATGACCTTGCCAGTGCCTCTGTTGTCTCAGCATGGTGTTTAGCATATTTGTGAATGACGTAATTTTTTGACTGTGGAGAAGGTTGGAGAGGATATGTTGAATTACTCCAGGCCTTCCTGACTGCCAGAAGCCCCACTCAGCATCTCTGCCTTGCTGTAACTCAGTCTTATACTTGACGCTGCCAGCAGAAGGAGTAGAAGGATATATTTAACTTCGGTTTGCTGTGATGTCATTGAAGATACTGCAGTTGAAAATCTAAGCATTTCCCTTTCTCTGCTTTGAACAATCGATTTTATTGTCCTTTGTTTTCAGTGTAAAGTATTGTTTTGGATGGATGGTTTTAAAAAAGAAAAAAAAAACCCCACACAAACTTTTTTTTTTTTTAAATTTCAGCAAGGATTTATATGTGCCAGTGATGCGTCAGGCCTTGTTCAAATACGCAGTGCACGTAGGTAAAGGATAAGTTCACTTGCAGCTGAACAGATTTGGCTCCCCCGAGGCAAAGTGTTCAGTTTGTCTCTGGAAAAAAGAAAACTATCTATGAACTATCTATGACATTTCCTGTTGTGTTCCGAGCGTATTTGCTTGGAGGGTTCAAACTTTCCCTTGCTCAGATCCTTAGACGGGCATAGACTGCTAACTCTCCACCTCTGCGTCTATCTCACCCTCTTTTACCTACTTAAACCCATCCAGACAGGGCGTGACATAATAACAGAGGGAAGAAGAAGGTCTGATCAAAGTGATTGGTCCTTCACTCCTGTAACAAAGATGAAAGATGGTATTTTTATTGCACGTTAGTAACGGTGTAACACTGAACTAATTGGTCTTGATCTGCCAATCACCCGAGGGATGCAAATGGATACTCTTCCACTTTGGCTTCGAGGGGCCTCTGTGATAGTGCGTCAAGCTGGAAGGAAAACAGAGTAAAATAGATAAATTAGACTTAAATGAGCTGGCCTTGTGGTTTTCCTGGAGAATCCCTTGCTGTCTTATCCAGCCCACTCAACCAGTTGTGGCATGTGCTAGACAGCTCCTGACACAAGAGATTATTTTTACTTGTTTGAGATCACGTTGTTATTTTCTGTGCAGGATTACTTGTTTTGATGGGATTGCTTAATAAAGACAAGTCAAATACCATATGCTGAGGTAGGATGAATACAGGGAGAGGTTAACATCCTCTCCGTCTATTTAAGTATTTAAGGGAAGTTAAAAAAAAAAAAAGAGAAGTTTTTTTTTCCAAGTTATGGTGTCCAAAAGAGGAGCTTTGTTTCTGTTATTTTTGCTGTTGATAGTCATTTAGGTTGTTTTAACAAAGCAAAAAAGCCAAACCTTTCAAAAGGGGCATCGTTTTTTTTCTTTGTCTTCTGTGAAATAAAAAATTTTATGAGAAGAAACATAGCTCTATATTATCCCTACACAACATGTGCTCATACAGCACGTTTCAGACATTTTGAATATTTTTATTTTCACAGGGTCTTCCACACACGCTTATACCAGAGGGAGCTTTGCTCACCAGCTCAACAAAGAACTGGACAATATTAGAAATCAGAGGAATAAATTGGGTAAGTATGTGTATGTGGTAGTTTTTATACTCTCTCGCTGTCTCTCTCGCTGCCTTTCATTTGAGTTGTTTTTTTTTTTTTTTTAAATTATTATTATTTCTGTTCCCTTGGTTTTATTCCTTAAATGATATGCATCATTTCTCTTCATTTTCTGTTTTGCATCTCGGAGATATATGCCACAGACGTTAGCTTAGCTTTTTGCATATTGCTGACAGGCAGCCGCTTTCTCTTCATCTGCCTTAATTTCTTAATTTGGACTTGGACCAGAACTGCCTGATAATTTCCCATCCATTTTAGGATATTATAAATGAAGCCTGAGCCTTTTGGGGAGCAGGGTAGGAGGGGTAGGAGAGCACAAAGGCACTTAGGATATTGGACAAGATGCAAACTTTATATTGTACCAAGCCTTTTAGTGATGTCATTAATTTAGAAGGATGGTGCATATAAAGTGCACTTGGCAAACTTCTTGGGCAGGCTGGGTGGATGCACTTTGAGAATAAGGAGGAGTAACAAGGTTGGAAATGGAGAAAGAAGTCAAAATAGCAAATACTAAAGGGCAGTCAAATACACATTGTAAGAGGACAGTTGATGTCTGTAAGACATAGTGCCTGTGGTCCATGGGCTGTCAGCAAAGTCTATAAACATGATGAATGAGCCGTTGAAATACGAGGTACATATAAAGCTGAAATGTTTCATCTGGCTTAGAAGAATGAGAGGCATAAGTCGCCCAGCACATGCATACGTATTTTCTCCTAAATATAAATCATAAAATTAATTTTGTAGCATTTCTTTTCATCCAGGAGTTATTATTTTTTTCCATTAATTAAGGCAATGATGAGTGTGGCTAATTACAGAGGAAGAGTGTAATTTTTGAAGGTTATGAAATGTATATTACCTGCAGGTGGGGCGGTTGCGATGAGAGCTGAGATTGTGCTCAGCCCACACACTCGCGATATGTTTTACTAAACAAAGCGGTACAAACCCTGTAAATAAAGCCAGAGGGCTTGTGGTTGCAGTAGGTTCTTTGATGAGCTGATTAATTAACAAGTAGTGGAAAGTGTAATGGAGGAGTTTAGTTCATCATACATACATTTCTTAAAATAAATAAACTCACTCTTTGTTGCGCTTTCATGTCCTCACAGAGAGAAGAAAGAAGGCATCGGGATGGGAGAAGAACTTGTTGTATCCCATAGTGATGCTGATCCTGCTCACAGGAACGGTGAGTGTTAAGATTGACCTATCATTAGGCCCACACTGTTTGCTCATGACGTTTACAGCCTGGCTGGTATCCACTGGGAGTAACACGGTACCTCAAAATCCATCTTTTCCCACAGAGTCTGGGTGGGGAAACTACTTTTGTTTAATGGATGTTTTAAGACAATGCTGAATACCAACCTACAACAACAGTGATTTTAAATAAATTACAGTGTGTGAATACTGTTTATGTCGTCTGATACTGTTAGATAAGGTAGAAAGGCCATGTGCAAGGCATGGCACGTGCATCGCACAACCCTCAAATTGTTTAAGTTTTGAGAAGCTCAATTTTGGCACAGTTTACAGTTACAAGATTGTTATTATGCATTCAATTATATCATGATGCCGGATACTTGGAGGATTTGATCAATCTTTTTATAATTATACCATGTGTGAACAAATTTTTGTCTTCCTCTATGTCTGCAGACAATCTCTGTTCTTCTGGTGGCACTGAACATCCTCTATCTTCTAGTAGATGAGACTGCAATGCCCAAGGGATCCACAGTAAGCCTTCTGTCTAACTAGGCTTTTGCGTTCACACCATCACACACCTAGAATGTAAACTGCAGTAGGGCTTGCCTATCGGGCCTGCCCTGTCCCTGGCGGAGACATAAATCAAATTCCAGATATGCTCAGGTGCACGTTGGAAGAAAAGACTGGACCAGATGTTAATCAGGCTTCAACGTTGTGGCTCTGGTTTTGTTTTGGAAGCTCATTCAAAGTCATTTCACAGCAGTGTGCAAATTCAATGAGGTTGCTATGTGTCTCCTGCCCTCAGTGGGTGAATAAGCTGCTTTTCCTCCCTTGTGCAAATGCAGACGGGGGCAAGTGAAGGGCTCTTACTGTGAAACAGCCATTCCAGCAAGTGTGGAATGGCTCTGAGATTCTCATCTCTGCCTAACATGCAATGTGTTTTAAGCTCCTTGTATCTCATCTCATCTGCAGTGACAGAGATGCGTGCATGTGTGTGCTTGCATGTGTGTGCAGTTGTGGTTGCATTCTTGTCTGAAAAGGGGCAACATAATGTATCCTATTTCTCCCTCATTTCATTTTGCATCTCGCGGGCATCTGACAGAGCTGCCCTCGACATTCCAATTATTTTATTGAGCAGAGATGTTTTCTTTGGCATGACACATTGCAGAAAATCCCCCAAATTACACTTGTCATGTAGCTTGAAGCTGTCCTCCCTGACAGTATGGCCTCACTAAATGGTTTATGCTTTATGTTGAGCTGGATGGATGCCACACCTCTGATCTCACAAATCTACGAGCAGGAGGGGCCATCTCATCTTCCTAAAACAATCAATACTGATATGAGATCATCTATCATGCTTCTTTAACCTTATCCTCTAACTCTCAGACTGTGCCCCTCTGGCACAGAAATTCCCTCTGCCCTCTGTCTGGAAAAAGATAACGACAGGGGAGAGAATGTGATATAAGAGGGGAGAGAGAGGTTTGACATCTCGGCAAGGTACTGCCAGAGCAAGAGAGACTCAGACTGTGGGAAAGTCAAATGAGGCCCTGATTGTTATGGGAGTAGAGCACAATAGAAGTGCCCTGTCAGTGTTTGTCTTCCCTTCCAGCTAAGCATCCTGCTGTAGTCTTTAGAATACTGAGCAGTGTACCGCTCAGCTTTACAGGGCAGTGGATGGGTATAGAGAAGGATAACAAGGAGTAGGGAAAGAAAAGGATGACGAGCAGAGAGGAAACGCAGGTGGCTATAGATGAGAAGTTGGCACTGCCTCTGTCATAGGACAGAGGGATTTACAGCTTTATGAAGAAGCACTTAGAGACACCAATAAAACTGTTACTACAGGCCCTTCTTTTTGGTGGCCACTGCACTTGACACTCTATTTTGCAAAACAGGCAATTACTGTGGCTGGACAGTAATTTTCACCCAACTAAAGTTGCCCTTGTCCAAATGCACAAAGGCTTGCATCCATCCACCCATCTTCTGCCTGTCCAGATCCGGGTCATGCTAGTCCCAGCTGTTGTGGGGCAAAAGGCAGAATACACCCAAAACTAGTCACCAGTCTGTCGCGGTGCGACTGCGTAGAGATAGACAACAGTTCACGCTTACATGAATACCTGCAGCCAGTTTAGAATTATCAGTTAGCCCAACATGCATGTGTTTGGACTGTGGGAGGAAGCCAGAGTACCTGGAGAGAGTCCACATAGGCACAGAGAGGACATACAAACGCATTTATCCAACTTTAACAACTTGACCTCCCATCTCCAGACACCCTTTTCACTTTATAACTGGCTTTAAGATTATCTAAAAATCTGGAAATGTATGTGAATATTAAGTCTTTGCTTGTTGCTTATTATATTTATATTTAATATTTACATTTCAGAAATTCTGTAAGATTAAATGACGGCAGCCTCTCATAGTTCGGTGAAATGTATGGATTACAAATGTCTGTCACTTAAACCCCCTCAGACTCCAACTGGTTGCGGCAGATGGTCACCCCTCCCTGAGCCTGCTTCTTCCTGTTAAAAGGGAGATTTTCCTTCCCACTTTTCCAAAGTGCCTACTTAGTGGGGTGGGTGGGTGGAGGCAGGATTTCTTTGAATTACTGTAGTGTCTTTACCTTACAATTTAAAGTGCTATAAGGCAACTGTTATTAAATTTGGCACCATGTAAATAAAATAAAATTGAGTATGACTGTAAAAGTAAACTTTGAAACGCAGTTGCTGTTTCAAGGTTGTTACATGGGCACAAGCAACTTCAGAGATCTGAACAGTTTCTTCTCCCACTTGTTTAGATTTTTTATAGGTTGGAATTAGGTTGTTGGCAACTGGATACATGATTAGGACATGGCTTTGACTATACGAAAGATGAAAAATATGAGAATATTTCACGGGACTGCCTTGAAATATGTTAATCATAGGGTGCATGTGTAGCTGTGTTAATAAAATCAAATTAAATACAATTTAAAAAAAAAACAACTTAGTACAAAGTAAGAATGTGAAGTATAGATGTATGTATGGCATTGACGGCCTCATCAGCCTCAATATGCAGTCTTAATGTGCAGTGTGAGTTGACTGGAACATAGACCCTTCCCTCTATGGACCCCTATCCCGCTCTTTCACACACAGTAACACACGATCCGTCACTCTTTCTGCTACCGGAATGTAAAGACGAATGGAAAGGAGGTGCACAGCACAAGCTAGGTGTCCTGTGTACGCACGTGCATGCTTATTGCGAGTGCACACGCCATCTTAATGCATGCCCTCCCTCCATTAATAAATGACATCAGATTCTGTCTGCTAATGCTGCTAATTCTCTGTGTAAGAGAGAGAGGGCACTGCACCATGGCTCTGCAGTAAGCTCCCAGGGATGACAGTTGCATAAAAAGGCATGAAACAACCTGTCAGGCTTTCCTTTTTTCCCCTGCAGCCCGTTTTACAAAACAAATCAAGATAAAGACACTTAAAGTGGGAAAGGGAAAAAGAATACAAATGCAAATCTCAAACAGAAACCGCGGCAGCACACCAAATATATGCTGTGCAGTTTAATATGCTGTAGGTGCATATTGCATGACGAGTAACAGCACATTTGCCTTGCACTTCTGTACTCTAACTGTACATGCAGTACTCTATGATTTAGAGTAAAAATAAATAAATAAAATGACTGGATTAGTGCTGCACAGCTCTGTTAAGATATGTTTATTGTATCAGCAAGAATCTGAATTTGCAGCAAACACTTTTAGGGGAGTTTTAGGTAACTTTGTGTGAAGTACTGTGTATATACCCCCATTAAATGTACAAATCCTCTGGAGGATCGTCTTGGGTGCCAAGTCTGAAAAAAGCAAATATTTGGCATTTGACAACTCAGATGCTTGGTATGTGCTGTGTATGTGGATGTATGTCTTTTTCCTGCTCCACTTTCAAAAGGCCTTAGGGGTTGGAGGGGTGAGGATGGGTGAGGGGGTTTGCGTAGTGTATTTGCTAAAGGATTTGTTTAGTTGTTTTTATGTTTTTGGCATGCTTTCAGCCTGTACACTCTTCTTACCGTAAGCAATGTGCCGTTTTTGTTTGAACACCTGTTCACATATTGTATGGTCGACAGTGATTTGCAAAGAGCCTCTTTCATCTTGTTCCATTCATTACTTAGCCAATTTGATTCTGTCTTTCTCAAGTAGGGAAATTCTTCGTGCACCACGTACTTACTTTTGCAGGTCTTCTGTAATTGCTCATGTCTGCAGTCGTACACAACACCAAGTGTTGTCATTTTTGTGATCTGTTTTAGTCTGAAGGGTAGTGTAGGATGTTTAATTTTCCTATTTGTCTCTCTCTTCTAGGATCGAGCCATTGGGAACACCTCTTTGTCCACATTTGGTGTGGCTCAGGCAGTGCTGGAGATTGTCCTCATATTGTATCCTTTCAGTGACCTCCCCTTTGTCTGTGGCCTGAGTAACATGCTCCATGGCCAAGAGCAACATTGCCAAGGCAGCTTTGTTTACCCAGGACATAGTTGAGCTGAACACCTTCCGGAAAACATATTGCGTTGTTTCATCACCTTTTATGATACCTGAAAAGGTTGAGCCTTGACACATAAAAAGTTGACTCAAAGAAAAGCTGCTTTCTACTTGCAGCAAGGTGTTTTTGCTCCTTGATTGATTTGCTGAACAGCTACTTGATGGTGTCTTCTGTCGTTGGCTTCTACAGTCTGCGTGTCTTTGAGGGACTCACTCCCAGGAAGGATGACACAACCATGACAACGGTAAAGATGGGATAGAAAGGCAGGGAGTGGGGTGAAGTGGGGGCAAGGGTGCTGAAATTGCTCCTAAGGTGCTGATGTGTTTGCCCCCTCCTGTGTTTCATCTATTTCCCCTGTCTTTTTTTTCTGTCTTCATTGCGCTCGCCTTCCTGTCTTCTCTGTCCCTGCTGCTCACTAATGTTTTCCTCCGGGCCCCTCAATGGCCTTAGTTGATCTGTTCAATATTTGTTTGTAAGTTGCGTAAACACCAGCAAAGTGCAAGCTCTTTTCTTGTACATCAGAGGGAGAGTGAGTTTTTTTTTTTTTTTTTTCTTCTTAGGGGGAGAAGGGGGCTGGGTGGCAACTATTCACTTGGTAATGAGTTTGGGAGTGGTGAGGCTTGTTAACTAGCATGATGCTTCAGTGAAAGGACTTGAAAGGACAATAGAAGGAACCTCATAATGAGCATCTTCAGAGGTACTAATTGTATAATATGTGGAACCAATTTATCATCAAGTGGCGTGTATGTGTGTGGGCACATCACGGCTAAAACTGCTGGTGCAATGGGTGCTTTTTCTGCTTCACACTCGCTATAAATTGCATGTAATTTGTTGAGGGCTAAACTCGGAGGTTTGATTATTTGGTCTTATTTGCAGATCATTGGTTGCTGTGTCTCCATCCTGGTGCTGAGCTCAGCCTTGCCAGTGATGTCCAGAACACTAGGTGAGTATGCTTTTTCATGTGAGTGTTTTTGTATTTTCTTTTGCCTGCAGTAAGGAGAGTGTAGCTTGCTTTTTCTTTTTTCATTCAGAGCCAATTTTTTGTAGACACATTAAATGATTAAATAGCAGCAGTTTGACAACTTTCATAGAGTTAGATGAAAACATTAATAGTGGGTGATCAAGTCCACCCACTAAATATGAAGCTGTAGCTTGTTAGTTTGATAGCTTGAAAATGTAAGTCCCTGATTATTGTCCATTGTGGACACTGACAGCTGGGTAGTTCTTCCTGTTGTACTTGAAGTCCACTACCTAGGGTGCATGTGTAGCTGATGCATTGTAACATAAATTCTCCCTTGACCAATGTTTGTGGTGACACATGGATATCTGCATGGACCCTTGCGCTCACTGTCTGATGAAATTTGCCACTCTGACCTGAGCGGACCAAAGTGGACTCCTGGATGTGGAAAGTATAATCGAGGGTTAAAGGCAAAAACTGCTCGCCTTGCTTTGTCTGAAAGAAGTGAGAATCCACCAACCAACACTACAGTTTATGTGATTCAAAGCTGGAATTTGGGAGGACATGCAAGGCTGGGAAAATCCAACTTGATTTATACCAGAGTTTTAAATATTGTGAACAGGCCAACCTTTTTGCAATGTGCAACCAGCAGCAATTGGTTTTCCAGATTTGAAGAGGGCAGAAAAGGTAGCACCAGGGACAGAGTAAACTGCACTGATAGAAATACAGATTGGAAGGGGAAAAAAAGAAACTCTGCATTCAAAGAAAGGATAATGGTCTAAAAAAGAAAGCGGTCGACAGTAAGGCCCATTGGTGTAATCTCTATAAAACGCTATCATTTACAGATCAGTTTGTTTTCTGTTAGCTTTTTTTTTTTTTTTTTTTTTTTTAAATTATCCAGATCCATTCTGGTGGACAGAATAGGGTTTGGTCATGGTATAGTTATCCTCTATTCCAGTTGGTGTTTCTGGTGTGTAAAGAACAAAGTTATTGGCAAGCTGATGGGTTCCCAGACTAACTTTGGTCTATGGCTTGTCCTCGCTATAAGCATGTCCACTCTCACTACCAAATGAAAGATGCAAAAGTTCCAACTGCTGGTTTATCAAGGAAAACCTGAAAAAGATCAAAACCTCTCTTTCAGGGTTATCCTGGCTGAGACCAGCATACTGTATCTCCTTTTATAATCTGAACATGCAGAACAGACAAGAAATATTCCTGCCCAAAAACAGACTTTGTTAATGAAAGAAACAAGATACAGCATGCTCATTAGTGAGCTTTACAGAAGCTGGTATTTTTGCTGTGTTACGACTGAATGATTGAAATGTAGGTTACAGACTTATCAGAGCTGTCATTGTGTCCTTGGCACAAACAAGAAGAAAGATTAAATCTTCCTCTCCCACAACAATTTTCATTGTTACCACCAACACCAGGTCACAGGAGTTGAATTCTCCTACAGTCTCTCATGGTGATGTTAGAAAAGAGTGCACGCAGAATAAAAATGACAGGGTAGCACCATCACAATGGCACTAATAAACATGCAGAGTGCAGCCCAGCCCAAGTTTTATACTCTTTGTGTGTGTGTGTGTGTGTGTGTGTGTGTGTGTGTGTGTGTGTGTGTGTGTGTCTGTGTGTGTGTGGGTGTGTGTGTGTGTGCAGTATGTGTGAGAGCAACAGAGTGGGAAAATAGGATGGAGTGAGCATACAGTGACTCACTGGGAGCTTTACAAAATATCAACAGGTTCTGCTTTGTGACACTGAATGGATGAAAAGGAATAAATGCATGAGACAGAGTTGAAGAGAAAAGGCCGCTCAGCACAAGATAAAAAAAGACGTGCAAAGAGTTGAGTGTGACGAAGTGAGATGTTAAGAGACAAGAAAGGGTTTCGTGTGTTGACGTGAGGCGTTTTTATGTCGGTGGGTGGTAAATATGCACTGTGTAAGAGATAAGGGAATTGTGCTAGAGCACGCAGCATGTTTAATAGTGTAGTAACAAATGTTTAGTTACACCAAATGCACATCACAACCAGCTCCACCCTCCCCTCCCACCTCTGCAGGTTACACATGTTTGGGTGAACTTTAATGTCTCTCTCTGTGCACTTTAAGCTGCATCACCATCAAATCCAGCTTGATTAATGGTAATATCACCAGACGTTATGGCTTGGTTTTACTTTGCACCAATTCATATTTAAAACTTTGACAAATTCTGCATGACATGTTGGTCTCTGCTGAGTTGAGGCAGGGTCAGAGTGAAGATGGAAACACAGTGTAACGTCCTGACGGCTCTGAACAGCAGCATGATAATGTCTCCGTCTCCCTACCGACATTTCCGAGACTGAAGTTTTTTTTTTTTTTTTTTTTTTTTTTTGAAACCCTCAATTAGATTTTCTCACATTACTAACCCAAGTTTAAAACCTTTGGCATTAGAAATGAATTTAGCCCGACCACAGTGGCTAGCTGTATTGACTGGGGTCTCCATCATCGCTCTCCCCATCTTTTCTCAAGCAATTTTGTTAAAGGTCCTTGATGCTTGCCAAACCGCTTACTGCGGCTGTAAATACATCTCTCCAGACGCTGAATCGATTGCCTAATCTAATTGATGACAGAGGTTGTGAAGATGTTACAGGAGAAGTTGAATGTCCAGGGACTAGGGCTTCCTCAGTCTGATGCATGAGAATGTGATTTCTGCTTACAGATAACAGGACAGGATACCGTTATGGTACTTGGACTTTAAATATTGATGCAGTAATTCCCTTCATCAATGTTGCATGCAAAATTAACATAGGAGAAGATGATTTAATAACATTAAACAGATCTGTGCACACAGGTTATTGAAAGCTTAATTATCTCCCCACAGTACTCTGTGGGATGGCGCAGCTAGAGTGCATGAACACATGGATGGATAAGCAGGAAAACAAAAGGGTGTTGATGGCTTTCCAAGCTGCATGTGACCAGCTGTGACAGATGGTTTGAAATTGGTCTGGCAGTGTAGAGCTAAGAGGGAGCTCCTTTGTCTTTGTCTGAAGGAGAGATGAAGTCCACCTGCAAGCCACCTTTGCTGCTATAATTAGCTCGCCATCCTTTTATGTTCCTCAGAGAATTGTGCTCACATTAACCAAGATGCAGCCAAGTGATAAAAATAAGCAGCAACTCTGCCATGCAGTGGGTCAGTGGATGTTTACCCAAGCCTGAGTGAAATTGCTTTGGTCCAAACCAAATCAGAATTCTTACACGCTGTACATTTGGATGACCTCCCTTCAAGGCCGTCTCGTGTGTAACTCTGGATCGCTTTTAGCGTGGTCGATTTTAAGATCACTCCCTGAAGTCGTGATCTGACCACTATACCTCTGCACTGGACACTGGATTCCCGTCAGTTTGGCAAAATGGTAAAACACAGCTGAAATATCAGTTCATTAACGTAAACTGTGTTAATGTGGCCGTCGATAGAGACAAATTGAAGACGAACGATGCACAAAAGTCATGATGACATATTCACAGCAGTGTGGCAGCAGTGCTAAAAGTGGTCTAGAGGTTCACGAGTTGACCTTACAAGGGAGATTGGACAAATATGAATTGTCCATAGTGTTTGAGATTTCAGTAGGCACGCTCTGTCTTCGCAATAGGTTTTTGAAGAGGGTGGAAATACCTAATGTAGGTTAGTTTTTGTTTGATTTATTTATTTATTTATTTTTTCAGATTTGGGCGTAAATCTGCTTGGAAATGTGCAGATTTGTCAATAGAAATTAGAATTGCATGCGTGAAGACTAGTGGTGTGAATCTGTGGAGTTCTTGAAGTAGTTGTTTTTGTACCACCTTACAACACGGGGCTGGTCTCAGACCCAAAGTGCACCAACGCTATTACAAGTAGTTGTTTTTTTTTTTTTTATTACAATTCAGAAATGTATTTATTCCTGTAATCCATATTAAATTGTTTTTGTATATAAGCCCCCTTTTCAGATTTTTATTTTCTTTTTTTTTCTTTCTTTTTTTACTTTTTGAAAAAGATGGGCCTGGGGAGAATGACATTTTCAAAGAGGCTCATAAGTTTGCTGCAGCCTTCTGCTTTTGTTAGGAAGAATTCTTATGAACAATACTTGTCTTGTCAGAAGGAGCCTTGGAAAGATGAACTTCATTTTTCTCAGGGTTTTGTTTATTTTGTGGAATTCAGCTGAGGAGAAAACATTTCGACTCTTGGTTATCACAGCTTTGTGTGAAGAGTTATTAAAGGTCACGGTTCTGAGTAAGAAATTGCACATTTTTGAATGAATGTCAACCTCATTTGTAACCCAGTTGCGCGCGTGCGTGTGAGTGTGTGTGTGTGTGTGTGTGTGTCCTTCACAGGCATCACCAGGTTTGATCTTTTGGGAGATTTTGGCAGATTTAATTGGCTGGGAAACTTTTACATCGTCCTTTCGTACAACCTGCTGTTTGCAGTTGTGACAACACTTTGTCTCGTGAGGAAATTCACCTCAGCGGTCCGGGAAGAGCTCCTGAAGGCGTTAGGTAAATTCATCAACAGGGTCTGTACATATCCTAAAAGTTTCTAACCAGCAGCTTTCAGTATATAGTACAGGACAGTGCGTAGTCTTTCACGTGCCTCAGTACAGCTATGTTGGTTCTACGTCTGTCTGATAGTATGTGACTGCTCAATTTAATCCTAATTTTGAGACGCTGACAAATCCAACCTAGTTGGTAGCTTTGGAGAGAAATGGTGTTTATTTCTCTCTGATAGAGCGACACGTCCAGCGTGTCGCTGAACTGACATGTGACAGAAGATGAAACTAGTCCCCAAGGCTTGTGGTGACGGGCCCTGCATGTTTGATACACAGGGTGGGATAGGGCTAGAAAATGCCAGACAGAAGAACCGAGGGAGGAAAAAGGACATCAATACTTCTGTCTAAGTGAAAGTCTGAGGCTTTTTAATGAGATTTTTCTGCCTTATCTCCCACTGCCCAGGTCTGGATAAATTGCAACTGTCAAACAGCCCC